GGAGATGATCAAACTCAGGGACTCCAACATGCTGAACCCATACCCTAAGGAAGAACTTGAGAGCAACTAGTCCAATGCCCCACATTTTATACAATGTATGCTTGTAGACACAATAATCTCTAGTATCTTAAAAACAGTAGTATGATATATATACACACGCGTATAAAATGACAGTATCTGGCCCAGTTAGTATTTGTAGAATAGATTTTAAAATATCTTACATGTATTATTAATTTGAACCAATACTCTTAAGTACAAGTTAAGGCACAATTGAATCCATATGAATATATACACACAAAATACAAGGAACCTCAGTTTCTCCAAATTGACAATCTAGTGTCTGTATTTCTTGGTGGTGCTGAGGCAAGATAGTCGATGATAGGATACAAGAATATCCTCTCCCATTTCCCTAAATTACAAAAACCTTAGTTACACAGCAGAATCATCTGTTGAGGTTTTTTCTTAATGCTCAATTTCCACCCCAAACCCACATAATCTCCAGAGACTTAGGCCTAAGCAAATGTATTATGAAAAGGTTCCAAAGTTGATTCTCATGTAAAACCAAAGTAGAAAACAATTGTTAGATAGTAACTGAAAAACAGAAAGCCACTGCTGCAGAATACATGTACTGTGTTCACTGTGCATCTGCACGCATGAGACACATTAGAAAAATACATTTCAGCAAGACACTGTCATAAACATTATCTAATTTACATCTTATTCCTTAAAAATGTATTACATATATGTACACTTCAATAACAATGAATTTAAACTTTAATGCATTAATATTAAAAATGTTATGAATTTTCCTCCTTATAATTAAGATTTTATAGATCAGTATGGTAACAGACTAAAGACCAATGATTTTCTATCCTCTGTCAGAAAGAATGTGCATGGAGGGACCAGAGATAATATAGCTTGCTTTACATGTGACTCACCTGGGCTTGATTGATCTCTGGCACCACATTAGATCCCCCAAGCACCACCTGAGCACAGAACCAAGAGTAAGCCCTGAACACCACCAAGTGTGCCCTCCCTCCCACATAGATTCTATGTGCATAGCAGCCGCAACTCCCACACATTTCTCAATATAGAATTTAGTCCGATGGACTAAGAGAATTAAAATGCCAAGTAACTTTTATTGCTATTCCATAAAATTACAACCAATAGTAAAAAAAGTTAATTCTTTAATTTTGGAGGGTTTGTAAAGTTTTTGTGAAATCCTGATCTTAGGGACTGGAGATACCCAAAAATAAATTTACCTGTAAAGTACAACTCAGAATGGTGGAGGTCATTAATGGGATGAGCAATTTAAGTAAAATACTAGAAAACAAATGCCTGGATTTTCCATGTTTTAAAGATGTCAGCTGCTGGGGCTGGAGAGAGCACAGCCAGTAGGGTGCTTGCCTTCAATCCCTGGTACCCCATAAGGTCCCCTGAGTGCTGCCAGAAGTGATGCCTGAGTATAAAGCCAGAAGTAAAGCCCCCCACTACCAAAAAAGGGATGTCAGCTGCTGTATAGTATTATTTTAGCCACAAATACCACTCACCAATTCAACTAATATCATCCTGAACATGCTCAAAGCTTTAGCATGTCTCTTGACCAACCAACATTATTTCCCAAATTATGACTATTATTTTTAATATTTTACTCTAAATCCATTGTAGTACTAGAAACCAAAGTTTCAGATATGGTTCTTAAGAAAGTAGTCAATGTTATTGCACTAATGTGGCCTAGTGAAATCCAACCACCACTGGCTGAGTGTGTGAGGTGGCCTCAATCTGTATAATGGAACTCAAGCTACTTAAGATCTTCAAGTGGCAAATGCTTACCAAAGAACTGTAACATAATTTATGCCCAATAAATGACAATTATGCTGCTACTTGAGAAAAGAGGGGGAAAAAAATCTTAGAAAAAAAAAGGGGGGGCAGGATAGTAGAGAAATTAAGGTGTTTGTCTTGCAGGAAGCTGAACCCAGCACTACATACTGGCGATAAGCACCTTCAGGAGTGACCCTGAGGAGAACCAGGAGCCACCCCTGGGCGCCACAAGGCCCAAACACACCACCCCCCTCAAGAAAAAAATCCACCCTATTTATCTGCTTCAAAGTTCAATAAAAATATGCTGAAAGTGTTAAGTCACTTTCAAATAACAAGTCTCTTTCATTGAACTTCATATGAAAATCATCCACAGTGCTTTTAAAATGTATCTTTTTTGGATCCCAGTGAACAAATGTGTTTTTGCCCAAGGACCCACAAAACACCAGCTAATCAGTTTCTGAGAGTAGGACAGGTTTTTTTAAGCTCCCCCAAAAAAGATTCAATTATACAATTAGGGTTAAAGGCTATTAGCCCTTTCCTATGTTAAGACTATATTAAAATAAGAACCTGGCAATAAATATGATGGATTTCAAAGACATAAGTACTTTAAAAAAACAAAAAATGTTTTTTCAGGGTTTTGGAAAATAATTTTAAAGACTCAAAATATGTCAACAAGAAGGTAAATACAGTAAGAACTAACTAAATAAGCTTTACTTTGAGAAACTTAAAAAAAAAAAACTTAACTAGCTCCATAGACAAAAAGGTAAGATTTTTCCCCCCTCATGTGACAGTACAAGTGAAGACTTACAAGGTTAGAAGAGTTCTGGAACACTCTTCTAGATATTCCAAATTACTTGGGGCCCTGAGCCCTAATAAAGTGGTTAGGGAGGCACTTGCCCTGCACACGGGGCACCCAGGTTGGATCCCTGACATTTCATGGACCCCAACCTGGTGGGGAGTAAACCCAAAGCGCAGAACCAGGAATAAATCCTGAACATTGCTGGGTGTGACCCCAAAACAAACAAAAACCAACTTTCTTTAACCTGATTTAAACAGCAGGTTTCAATCAATAGTAAACCCTGAAACTAATGTATAAAAGCCATCTTAAAACTGCCCTTTTGAAATATTAAAGAGGCTGGGGATGTGGCTCAGCAATAGAGAACATGCCTTGCATATGTGAGGCCCTGCGATGGCTCCCCAGCATTACAAAATAAACATCATATTCTCAACCAAACCTAGAAGAAAGATTATTTGTGTCTAATAAGTTGACGACTAGTAAATTCATGGCAAATATCCACATTACCAAAATTATAAAGCAGCTTATATTAATACCATATCCAGGAAAAAATTATCTTTGGGGAGATAGCGACAAAATCTCATCTTCTTGCGATGTCACTGTATTTCAAGAACCTGGAAAAATAAGATCCAAAATAAATCTTGAGAGCATTTCCTTGATAAAACAAAAGATCTGTGGACGGCCAACAGATTCTAGTCATTCAGTAAAACATAAAATCTGCTCTTCCAACTTACTTTTTCATATACTATTCTTGCTCTTTAGATTCTCTATTTTCTGTCAAACCACCAACATCAGTAAACAAAAGAAAGGCCGTCATGAGAACATTAAGATAAATAAATTACACAGATTAAATACTCGTGCAAAAAATATATGAAGAGTACGGGGGTAAATTGTACAGTAAGTACAAACGTCTATTTTTTAATTGAGAAAGCAAAATATACCAAGCTATCAAAAATGTTAATTTGAGTCCACCTTTGGTTTTCACTCCAAACACCAGGGCAATATGGCTTTAGGATTAATGTTAGAAGTATTATTTACAAAACACGGGAGCGTTTAAATTAAGAAAACAAAAGTTGGCTTATTTCTACATTAAATATATAAATCTTTAAGAATTTGGACGGCATTTGCTGAAATCAAAATGGCAGCCCACGGAGTCAGTAGAGCAGTGAGCTCTAAAGGACAGTGTGTAGCCTTCATTTTTAAGTTCCAGTGCATTAAGACCAAGCTAGTCAGGGTTAATATACAAATACTGGCGTTCAAAATGCGCTCCAAGACAGGGTTAAGTAACTGCGGAAAAGTTTTCTCATCTATGCATCCCAAATTCTCCCTCGAAGTGAAGGTACACAAACGTTAGGTAGCTTTAAAGGACTCGGAGTTTCCACATTAAAAAGAAAAATGCTGCACGTACCTCCCCCGCCCCCCAACATTTTAAACGCAAGAATATTTCACCCACATCTGCAACTCCCTCTGTGCCATTCCAAGAGCGTCCGGAGCCACGACACACCTGTAAACTGCACCCGTGGAGGACCCAATTTGCTGGGCGAACTGGAGAACTTTCCCCCCAACAGGCCGCTTTTCGGCAGGTTCCGTCGGAGACCTTACCCGCTCGCCGTGCAAGTTCCAGAGGCCACGGCAATATTATAAAACGCCTTGCCCCTTGCAACTCGAACTTCGCGTTCCACAATGAATGGCAAGAAATCCGTCCTCGGTCCCGAAGCCCCTCACCCCCCGCCCCCCCTCGCTGCGGCTCACATTTGGGGCACAAGCGGTTAAAAATAGCCAGGTGCCGGGGTCCAAGTTCGCCAGCAAGCGATTTCTGCTGCCCAGCAGCGTTCGGGGATCGGACAAACGAAGGGGGGTGGGGGGTGTCAGATAACCGGCCCCGCCGCGCCCACCAAGCGCCCCGAAGCTGCGGCTTCTCGCGGAGGGGGGGGGGTGGCCCCTTCGTCGGGGCGCTTGCCAGCCGGCGGGAGCCGCGGCCTTGCGCCCCGGCTCCAATCACTCCACCTCAGTAATGGCGTTTGGTGTCAAGTGGAACCAGACCGGGGAGCGCGGTCGCCGGCGCGCCCCGCTCTACGCCGCGGGGGCTGCACGGCGCGCCCCAGAGCCTCCAGCCTCCGCCTGCGTCCCAGACAGGACGGGCAGGGGGAGGAGGGGAGGGACGGAGCCGTCAGCCATTTTCCCTTGCAGTCCAAAACACACTCGCGCTCCCGGGACCCCGGCGCCCCGCACCCCGGCCCCCGCAGCCCCGCGCCGCGACGGGGGGCCCCGCGGGGCAGCCCCAGAGCCGCGCGCGCCCCGCTTGCACGCACACCCCCCTCGCCCTCCTCCCGCCGCCCCGTTCCCAGCTGTTAGCCCCGGCCCAGCGCGGCGGGCAACTCACCACACGACTCGGGCGTCTTCGAAGCAGGGCGCGCGGAGGCGGACGGCTGCGAGGCTCGGTCCCGGGTACGTCCGAGGCGGCCGGGCTCCCGAGAGTGGTGCGGGGCTGCAGCCGCCGGGCTCGCCGCTGCAGGACGCCGACGGCCGCCCTCTTCCCCTACTCCCCTCGAGCAGGGGCTCGCGCGGGGCACTCAGACTGGCTCCGGGCGGTGCGTCTCTCCTGCGTCACCTCCTTCTGCTCCTCCTCCCCCAAAGGCGCCTTCACCTTCCCCTGGTCACCGCCTCGATCTCCGCTCCCCGTCTAGCCGCTCGGCGGCGGCTCGCTCCGCGCTCGGGGCGCAGACCCAAGCCCCGGGCGCTCCGGCGGCCGCCTCCCGCGAGAGGGGCGGCAGCGAAAGGTCCCCGCGAGGCCCGGGAGCTGAGAAAAGCGGGGAGGGGCTGCGCTCGGCACGGCCCGGGCGGGCCGGCTGCGGGGAGGCTGCGGCTCCGACGGCGGCGGAGACTAGCTTCCGCAGCCGCAGACACCCGTCCTCGTCAATATGGCCGACCCGACACCCCCCCCCCCCAAAAAAAAGTGCTGGGCCAGTGGCGGCGGCGATAGCGGCGGCGGCGGCGGCAGCAGCAGTGGCGGTGGCGGCGGCAGCAAGGCGGCGCAGACTCCCACTAGCCCAGCGCCGCCCAGGGCTCGAGCTGCCCCGCCCCCGGAGAGCTCCGCCCCACCGTGGGCCCACCCCTCGGCCCTCCTCCTCCTCCCCCACTAGCTCCCCGGCGCCCTCCACTCCCCGTTTTCCTCCAACACCCCCGGCGGGCTCGCCGGAGGAGCGAGAGCCTCCGGGAGAGTGGGGCCCGGCCGGACAGGCCCGGAACCTCGAACGTCGGGCGGGGGAGGGGAAGACAATGCGGTATAGAACGTTCACGCGGTACCGCTTCTCACGGCTGGCCCAATCAGAGCCGTGCCACGCTCTGGACCCAAGTTCTGTACATTCCACGACTCCGAACGGGGGAGGGGGCAGGGGTGGCTCAAGGACGTGCCGACGGGCGCAAAGGAGAGCCGAAAGAATAGGGGCAAACGACGCCGGCGAAGGAGGCGGGAGGGGGCACTGGCAGAGGGCTTGGGCACGACAGGGTTAATCGAGCGAGTTGCAGATCGCGTCGCTTCGAGTTAGTTGGGCTGCTTGTTTTTGTTCCATTGTGAACCGTGGCCCCGCCGGCTAGTGCCCGGATGATGACGTCACCAGCCTCCCCCTTTTCCGGGATCGCGGGGGGAGGGGCGGCGGAAAAAGAGATCCCGAGACCACGAGCCCGGCGTTCGCAAACCCGGTGCCTGGGGGTCCCGGCTGCAGCGCCAACCCGCGTCACGCCTGTGGGCCGAACCAGGCCCGCGGGGCGGGTGCCTTGGGGGGCGCAGCGAAGCCAGGTCCCGAGATCCCGGCCACCTGCTCGGCGCCGATAGGGGGAGGGTGCGGCTATCTCAGGCGGCGTCGAGGGGAGGAGGGAGTGTGGGAGGCCTTCCCCCCACCAATGAAGGAGGGCGCTGTGAGAAATTCATTCACATGATCCTGCAGCATCACTGTGTGAAAGCTTTTCGGCTCCCACAGCCAGACTGACTGTGACCGACCGCCCATTGCTTATAGGAGCCCTTAAAACTGAGCAGGAGATAAAAATAAAGAGCCCTGCACCACATACCAACCAGGGAACACTAAATGCAGCAACTTTAGCTGCTTTTGCCAAATCAGCAGCACAATTCAATCCACTATGTCATGGGGTATTTTCTACATATTTATATTACAAAGTAAAGCCTAAACCGCTAAATCTCAAATAAATGGATTGCTTGGAACAAATCTACACTCTAACTTGAATGCCCAATGAAGAGAAACAAGTGTTTTCTAATTTACCACAGATTTCCTTTTGAATTAAAAACGCTGTGGGACGCCAAATTGTATGCAAAATCATAGCAAAACTCTAAAACCCCAAATGAAATTTTTTTCAGGGCAGGGTTGAATTTAGTTATGCTCTAATTATGTTGATTTATTATAAAACGCTGTTAAAATGGAACCCAAATTGAGGATGACAGGTTGAGAGCTAATAATTTTAAAAATCATTTCTCTATACAACTCTAGCCTGGACAAAGCTTAACGTGCGTATTAAGGTTTCCCAAACACAAACTCCTAGCCATAAAAATTCACAGCAAATTTTATCTTGTTTTTTGTGATTTTCCCATAAGTGGCTTGGCTTCTCCATTGACTTAGGAGTTTACGTGGATATTAAGGAGTGCCCACGTAAGCCATAGGTTTGCAAAGTGCATTGTAGTTTTTATTTAATCCTGAGAGCTCAATGAGGTAGCCAGAATGTATATTGCTACACTGATTTTAGATAAGGAAATAGAAAGGTAAATTATTTGCCCAAGATCACAAGACAGGATTGGAAAGTGATGAACACAGGTTTTTTAAATCCTATCAAAAGTGCACCTTTATTAAGGAGGTCCACTCACCGATTCTATTTGACATTGTACTTGTGATTCAAGCCAGGGCAAAAAAGATAAACTAAAAGCAAGCAGGTAAGAAAGGAACAATTAAACTGCCTCTACTTGCAAATGACACCATCTTATATATGGGAAATCTACTCTTAAAACCATTAGAGGTAATAAACAAGTTTAGCAAGGTTGCAGGAAGTAAGATCAATATTTAAAATCAATTTTACTTTTATAAACTCACAATAAACATTCCAAAAATGAAAACAATTCAATTTGCAACAGCACCAAAAAGAATACTTATAATAAATTTAATAGTACAAAAATTTGCAGTGTAAATTATAAAGCATTTTTGAAAGAAATTTTAAAATGACCAGAATAAACAGACAAACAGTCCATGTTCAAGGATTAAAAAACTTAACATTGTTTTTGTTTTGGGGTGACACCCAGCAGTGCTCAGGGCTTACTCCTGGCTCTGCACTCAGGAATTACTCCTGGTTGTGCTCAGGGAACCATACAAGATGCTGAGGATCGAAACTGGGCTGGCCATGTGCAAGTACCTATTGTACTATCGCTCTGGCCCCAAGACTTAATTAATATAGTTGAGACAGCAAGAGTTCCCAAACTTTTAGGGTCAACCCAATCCCTAACGAAATCCCAGCCAGCTTTTTGGATTCTAAGTACATGAAAAGATGCTCAGCATCACTGGTCATTATGGAAACGCAAATCAAAACCCAAGAGAAACCACTACATACCCATAGGATAGCTATTATCAAAAAAAAAAAAAAGAAAAGAAAGAAAGAAAATGGGGTCAGAAATGTAGCTTTGTGGTAAAGCACTTGCCCTGCATGCATGAGGCAGCCGTAACCCTGGGATTTATCCTTGGCAGTGCAAAAGTAAAGAAAGAGCTGAGAGAAGAGAGCAGGGGAGGAGACAGGAAGGAAGGAGTAACACCTGCTAGCAAGGATGCTAAGAAGTTGGAATTCTTGTAATTCGCCAGTGGGAATGTAAAATGGTGCAGCTACCGTGGTTTTCCACTTTCCTTTTGGAGTTTAGCAGTTCTTCAAAATGCTAAACAGAAAATTATCAAATAACCCAGAAACTTCACTCCTAACTATATACCCACAAGAAATGAAAGCAGGAACACAAATTCTTAGTGTCCCATGTTAAGAACATGGATCACAACAGCTAAGCGAGAAAAGCAAATATAAAAGGTCACATATTATATGATTTCACTTTCATATAAGACAGATGCATTGAGACAAATAGAACAGAGGTTACCAAAGGAGGAGGTAATGTAAAGTCGCTGATTAATAAGTACTGCTGTATTTCTTTCGAGGATAATGAAAACGTTCTAGTAATGGAAAGTGCCGATACTCAAACAACATTGTGAATAGACTTAAAGTCAAAATGGTACATTTAAAAATGGGTGACAAGGTCAATACAGTTGTGCCATTATACATTATATATGTATGTGCACATGTATGTATGTATGTATGTATGTATAAAGCCACAATTCTTTTAAAGTGGGAAGGAAAAATTAATTTCATATGGTTAATGAACTATAGTCCCATTATTTAGTCTAGGGAAATTTAGCCGATCAAATTAAACTCACCAGGAATTCTCTCCTCAAGCTCTGTCTGTTCCCCGGGGTAAAATGTAGCCTACAAAAACACCTCTGACTGACAGGACCCCATCTGACAGTTCAGCAAACAGTCTGGGCTAAAAACATAGGTTCAGTTCTCCGTGCAGCTCCTTTAAAACCATAAAGTCAGCATCTTCCTTCTCATTTCCTTTGTTTTGGTTTCTCTTTTATAACATCTGTCCTTTCGATTTAAAACGAATTTTTCACTTCCTGGTTCTACATTGGCAGGGCAAACCCTTGATTATATTACATTTCCTCATAAAACTTCCCGTTGTACTCATTTTTCACCCAGAAATACCTGATTCCCTAAAGTCAGTTTTAGAACACTTAAAGAACAGAGTTTCCTAAATGAGTCGATATTATTTAATACTTTCAGAGCTACCAGTTTCAAATGCGTTCTACAACTGGTTAAATGCTTTATACCACTAGCAAGGTCTTCTGAGCTGATGGACAAGCTCAACTAAGCAGAGGGAGCTTTGATGAATGTAGCTGAGCGAAGACTTTGAGATTTGAATGGTATTAGGAATGTCCATAGTTACTTAGATTTTTAAAAACGCTTTTGTTGTTAGCAGTGGTGAGGATGGAACCCAGGGTCTCACACATACAAGGCCTGCCATCTACCATTAAGTCACATCTCTGTTGCCAACAATGACTTAGTTTGTGATTTAGGGTTTTGGTTGGTTGGGGGTTTTTTTTTTTTTTTGGTTGTTGGTTTGTTGGGGTTTGGTTTTCGTTTTCTTGGGGGGGGGAGGGCGGTGCAAGGAATTGAACCCAAGGTCTCCCACACACAAGAAAAGTGCTCTCAGATCTTTAATATAAAAATCAGTGTTCCTCTTTGGAACTTCCACCCCACCCTAGTGCCTCCCCTGCAATCCTATGTGTATGACGGTGTCTGCTCCTTTCCTTTTCCCTTAAATAACACACCCCCACCTTTAACTTCAGCTGGGTGCATGCTTCCTTTACCTTTTTAAATAAATGCCTGCTTTGAATTGAAATTTTTTAAACTGAAAACCTATGTATATGGCCCATTTCATATCCCTTCATGACAACTGGCAGAGGACAGAGAGAACAAGGCATTACAATCTAAGGCTAGCAAATGACATGCTATTCCTCAGGGCTATTCAAGTGAATTTCAAGTGAATTTTAGATAGCTGTGACAGACACTAAAACTAGTGTAACCATTTTGTTCCAGAA